AGTGACTTTTGCCAATTAAAGGGTTCACTTTGCACCACTGAGGCACCTTTGGCCCTGTAGAGGCCATTTAATGAGGTTTCCCATTTAGCAGTGCCAGAGTTACTCACTGCAAAGCCTCAGGGTCACCATCCCTGCGTGCCCAGAGCTGCTCTCGCTCCGTTTCTGGCATCCCTCAACAAGGGGCAGTGGCACACAGCATGATTTGGATCCAGGGAGCAGCCTGGGATAGTGGAAGGTGTCCCTGACCAAGGACTGAAGGACAGGGTCAGCTGTGTGCTGTCCACCCTTCACCATTCCCCATCCAAGGACCAGGAAAAGCCATCAGGAAGTGTCAGGTTGTTGAGCAATCCTGGGAGCTCACAGGGCTCAGAGCACCAGGGAAGACATCGCCTGTTGCTGTCTGCCACCGAATGACACAGACGTGGCACTGCAGCCACGCCTGCAACACGAGCTGGGGCAGGGGCTGGGCGGCTCCCAGCACTGCAGCTCACCTGGCCCGCGGCTCCTCCGGGTCTGCACGGCCTCGGGAAAAGTGGGAAATACCGGGATGGTGTTCAGCCACGCCCCAAAGCCTGGTTACACCACTGCTGCTTCACTGGCAACAGGAATTCAGAAGATATAAATTAACATCACAGGAAAACTTTTATTTTCTGAGAAGATTAAGGTTGGTGACTCCCAGTGCTGCCACGTGGTTTTACAGATCACCTCACTCTTCTGTAACACAAGTGGCACCCACAGGGTCTGATTTTCAAGGCTAAATAATCAGAAACCCATATGCACAGATCAAACACAACTTTCCCAGTCTGCTACATCCAGATCTCACGTTTCAAACAGCTCAGTTAGTTTTTCCCCAGTCTCCTATCAGGCTGATTAATGATGTCAGGCTATCAATCACTCTGAGTGCTCACGGGGTGCAGAACAAACGAGCGTAGAACATAGCCTGGCTCTCTCTTGCCACTCTCTGACGCAAAGATGACACAGCAGCCATCTCTGCAACGCCAGTGGCAGTCTGGGGGGAACAAATAACCCATAAAAACTGAAAAAAATATAATTATGGGTGGATGTCCATCTCTGGAAGCATTTAAGGACAGGTTGGATGCTGCCCTGAGAAACCTGGGATAGTGGAAAGAGTCCACTCTAATCCAAACCATTCCATGACTCTCTGGTATTTATAAAAACAAGATTTTATCACCTATTTAAAAGCACTGCTACAAAGGTATTTGCTGCATGTTGGGATACCAAATGTAACACTCCACTTACAGTTAGAGGTGGTTGAAGCTTGCTTAAGCAGCCTTTTTCTGAAGGATTACCCTTCATTTTTGAAGTCACACCATCTTGGCTGGTTCATTTTTTGTCCACTGCCAGGCTGAAGAAAGAAAAATAAAGGAAAAATGCTGTTAATAACCACCTAACAACCTTAATTTTCTGTGAAACGCGCCATATAACTGAAAACCAGAAAATTACAACAAGAAGGGGATTTACTAAAGATTCATGTTAGCTACTGAAATATTTGAAAACATTTTCCTGAAAATCTTAAATCCTTTAATTTTCTTCCTTTCTTCAACGGGGTATATTAGAATATACACAGCTGTGTATGCTTTATATTACAGCTCTACGTATTTAAAAATATATATATTCAGTTCATAACATACAAATATATTACAATATTAGCTATTAATAATATATGTAATAGTTTATATATATGTATCATTATTTTGCTTGTAGCGCATTCCATGATATGCCCGAATTACGGCGCACGTGGCAGCTCCCGGAGCCCACAGAGCCCCAGGGCCGCTCGGGGCCGGCCCCGGCCGCGTGGCTGAGGGGGAAGGGCCGTTCCCTCAGCCTCACCTGGCTCGTTCCTTCCGCCGCAGCCGCTCAGCGCCGGGGGAAAGCGGCACCGGCCCTGAGGGAGCCTCGCCGTAACATGGCGGGGGAAGGCGCAGCTGTGGAGCCGTCTCAATCATCACCGGTTTCCTGCGCATGAGGGACGCAGCGCTTTCAGCTGACCCTGCCGGGAAAGGGAGAGGCCGAGGCTGGTCGCGGTCCCGCTGCGGCCCCGCCAGAGCTGCGCTGAAGCCCCGCAGCAGCTCCGCTCCCGCCGCCCCGCGCCCGCCGAAAGGGCGAGCCGGCCCCCGCCTCCCGCTTATATAGGGAGGGACTGGCGCGCGTGCGCGCCGCTCTTCCGCCAGCGAGCGCCCCCTGTCGGGCGGGAGGACCCAGAGCCGGGAGCGGCCGTTGGGGGACATGGGATGGGACACGGGATGGACATGGGATGGACATGGGATGGGACATGGGATGGACACGGGATGGACATGGGATGGGACACGGGATGGACATGGGATGGGACACGGGATGGACATGGGATGGACATGGGATGGGACATGGGATGGACACGGGATGGACATGGGATGGACACGGGATGGACATGGGATGGACATGGGATGGACATGGGATGGGACACGGGATGGGACACGGGATGGCCATGGGAGGGAAACGGGAGGGGACCGGGGATGG